ACCTCCAAACCAAGATGAAAAGGTCAAAAAAGCAATATTTGGGTCACTTAAGCGAGCTTCAGTTCAACAGAACCTGGTTCTTACAGGTGACTTCAACTAACCAGATAGTGGTTGGAAGAACAATACAGCAGCTCACATGTTACCCATCAAGTTCTTGGAATGCATAGAGGACTGTTTCCTCATACAAATGCTAGATGTGCCAACCAGGAAGGAGGCACTGCTGGACTTGCTGCTCATAGACCAAGAAAACCTGCTTTGTAATATCTTGCTTAGTGATAGCCTTGGCTGCAGTGATCACAACATTGTGGAGTTTGGGATCCTGCTGAGCATGCTGAAGTTTCATACAAAGATAAAAGTTTTAGATTTTAGAAGCACAAACTTCAGCTTGCTCAGAACTCAGGTGGGATGGATTCCATGGGAAGCTTCCATGGAGGCGAAAGGAATTAGCGAGTGCTGGGAGTTTTTCAAGAATGCTCTCCTGGAAGCACAAATACAGTTCATCCCCTTTAAAGGTAAAGGAAGTAGGTGGAGCAAGAGACCCCCTTGGCTTAACTGCAAGCTTCTCAGTCTGCTCCAAACCAAAAGAGAAGCATACCAGAGATGGAAAAGCAGATGAATACCTGTTGAGAACTATAAGGGCAATGCCAGGGCATGCAGAAATGCAGTTAGAAAAGCAAAAGCTCAGCTCAAATTGAAACTGGCCAGAGATGTTAAAAACTACAAAAGGGTTCTTCAGGTACATAAACAATAAGCAGAAACAGAAGGAAAATATTGACCCACTGTTAAACAGGAGAGGTGAATTAGTCACCAACACTGAAAAGGCAGAGGATCTCAACACTTTCTTTACTTCTGTCTTTACCAGCACTGTTGGGCCCCAGGCCTTGGGAACAAAAATCCAGGTTGATGCAAACACAGACCCACCATCAGTGAAGGAAGAGTAGGTATGTGAACTATTACAGGAGCTTGACACCTGCGAATCAATGGGCCCTGATGCTATCCACCAGAGGGTGTCGAGAGCTGGCTGACATCATTGCAAGGCCACTCTGCATAATCTTTGAGAAGTCATGGAGACTGGGGTGGTGTCCCAGAAGACGGGAAGAAGGCTAATGTCACCCCCATCTACAAGAAGGGCTTAAAGGAGGATCCAGGAAGTTATAGGCCCATCAATCTTATGTCAGTTCCTAGGAAAGTTATGGAATGAATCCTCCTGGGGGCTATCACAAGTCAAATGAAGCACATGACTGGGAAAAGCTAGCACAGATTCACCAAAGGCAAATCGTGCTTGACAAACCTGATTGCCTTCTACAACAAAGTAACCTGCTCGGTTGATATGGGGTGAGTGGTAGGCATTGTCTACCTAGATTTCTCCAAGGCTTTTAACATGGTTCCCCACAGCCTCCTCCTAGAGAAACCCATGGGTTATGGTCTAGACAAGTGGTCTGTGCGGTGGGTGGGGAACTGGCTGACAGGTCACACCCAGAGGGTGGTGGTAAATAGCTGCTTTTCAATCTGGCAACCTGTCACAAGTGGGGTCCCCCAGAGATTGAGACTGGGCCCAACGCTGTTTAATATCTTCATAAGTGATCTGGATGATGGGATCAAGTGTACCCTGATGAAGCTTGCTGATGACACCAAACTGAGTGGGGAAGTGGACACTTCGGAAGGGAGAGCCACCCTGCAGGAAGATCTGGATAGGCTGGGAGAGTGGGCTAACAAGAACCTGATGAAGTTCAACAACGACAAATGTAAGGTCTTGCACCTGGGAAAACATAATCCAGGAGTGCAGCACAGGGGGCTAAAGAGAATCTCCATCCTTTACTGGATGCAGGGGAAAGCAGTGACAAAGGATGAGGAAAAGGCTGAGGTACTTAATGCGTTCTTTGCCTCAGTCTTTAACAGTAAGACCTGTTGTTCTCTGGGTACCCAGCCCCCTGAGCTGGAAGACAGGGAAGGGGAACAGAATGAGCCCTCCATTATCTGAGGGGAAATGGTTGGCATTGGTGTAGCACCTGCTACACCACTTAGACGCACACCAGTCTATGGGGCCAGATGGGATCCCCCCAAGGGTACAGAGGGAGCTGGCACAAGTGCTCACCAAGCCACTTTCTATCATTTATCAGCAGTCCTGGCTAACTGGGGAGGTCCCAGTTGACTGGAAGCTAGCAAACGTGACGCCCATCTACAAGACAATTTGGATCAGGTGATCCTTCCAGCCTGGTATTCTGTGACTCAAAGAAGGTTGGGAAGGAGGATCTGGAGAACTAGAGGTCTGTCAGTCTGCCCGCAGTGCTGGGGAAAGTTATAAAGCAGATCATCTTGAGTGTCATCACATGGCACATACAGGACACTGAGTAGATCAGGCCTGGTATGCATGGGTTTATGAAAGGCAGGTCCTGCTTGACTAACCTGATCTCCTTCTACAAGGTGACCCATTTAGTGGATTAGGGAAAGGCTGTGGGTGTTGTCTACCTAGACTGTAGTAAAGCCTTTGACACCATTTCCCACAGCATTCTCCTGGAGAGACTGACTTCTCATGGCTTGGATGGGTGTACACTTCGATGGGTAAAAATCTGGCTGGATGGACGGGCCCAAAGAGTGGTGGTGAATGGAGTTAAATCCTGTAGGCAGCCAGTCACAAGTGGTGTTCCCCAGGGCTCAGTCTTGGGGCCAGTTCTGTTTAATATCTCTATCAATGATCTGGACGAGGGGATCGAGCGCATCTTCAGTAAGTTTGCAGATGACACCAAGTTGGGCAGAAGTGTTGATCTGTTTGGGGGAAGGAAGGCTCTACAGAGGGATCTGGACAGACTGGATCGATGAGCCGAGGCCAATGGTATGAGATTCAACAAGGCCAATTGCCAGGTCCTGCAGCTGGGTCACAACAACCCCATGCAGCACTACAGGCTTGGGGAAGAACGGCTGAAAAACTGCCCAGCAGAAAAGGACCTGGGGGTGTTGGTGGACGGCTGGCTGAATATGAGCCAGCAGTGTGCCCAGGTGGCCAAGAAGGCCAAGGGCATCCTAGCCTGTATCAGGAATAGTGTGGTGAGCAGGACTAAGGAAGTGATTGTTCCCCTGCACTCAGCACTGGTGAGACCCCACCTCAAGTACTGTGTTCAGTTTTGGTCCCCTCACTACAAGGAGGACATTGAGGTGTTGGAACATGTCCAGAGAAGGGCTACAAAGCTGGTGAGGGGTCTGGAAGACAAGTCTTATGAGGAACAACTGAGGGAACTGGGGTTGTTTAGCCTGGAGAAGAGGCAGCTGAGGGGAGACCTTATCACCCTCTACAACTACCTGAAAGGAGGTTGTAGAGAGGTGGGGGCTGACCTCTTCTCCCTGGTGACAAGTGACAGGACGAGAGGAAATGGGTTCAAGTTATGTCAGATGAGGTTTAGATTGGATATTAGGAAACATTTTTTCACCAAAATGGTTATTAGACATTGGAATAGGCTGCCCAGGGAGGTGGTGGATTCTCCATCCCTGAGGGTGTTCAAAAAAAGGATAGATGAGGTACTTGAGGACATGGTTTAGAAGTGGTTTTGTCATGGTAGGGTAATGGTTAGACTTGATGATCTTAAAGGTCCCTTCCACCCTTAGGATTCTAAGATTCGGCTGGACATAGTGCTGTGCCATCTCGTCCAGACTGTGCTTTTGCCAAGAAAGGTTGGACCAGATGATCCTTGAGGTGCCTTCCAATCTGGTATTCTATGATTCTGCATACAGTATCATAAACCCTTAAGATAATACAAAGTGCATAAACCGAGATGTTGCTTAGTTGCCATAGTTCAAACTTTTCTTACAGCTGAAATGTACTTTCTACTGGCAACTCATTTTATATATGATTTTTGATGATTAAGTAACTACATATTATTTTTAAAAAACCAACAAACACAAACCAACAAACCTCCTCCTTCCCATCCGTACAAGTTGAGATATCTCTCTGCCTATGAACCCTGGACAGCATATGACTATCCCCTTTTAAAGCTCTTTTCACACTTTGCTGGTGTCTGCTGGTGCTGCTTTCACTTTAAGTTTTGTGCATGTCCCTATTCAAAATCCCCCTCAAGAACAAAACCAAAAGACAAACACAAATCAAAAGAAATAACAGTGCAATGTAACAAAACAAAATAGCATTCTAACAGTTTGGCAAGTGATTAGTTCACCTGAGATTAACTGATCTTTAGGCAGTCTGTAACAAAACGTTGCTTTACAATAATAGCAGAAAGGCAACAAATTCTTAAAAGAAATCAAGAACGTATACAATCTTGACAAAGTCTCTTATTAGTTTCCTTCTGTTATCTCTTCCCCCACCCGCACATAGCTGTTGCTTGTCTACTACAGTTGGCTGCAAAACATACAGCAAGAAGGATTAGCTTGAAGGCATGTGATGTTTGCAAATAAATCCACAATAGGATCCAAGCTGAAGAGGTGATACATGATCAGCCTACTAGGACAATTCTGAGCATGTGCATATGCAGGTAAAGTCCAGGCTACATTAAATTTAAAAAAAGTCAGTACATTTGTCAGTCTTCATTGCTTTTTTTTTTGTGTCAAAGCTTTCTTTTGTTCCTTGTTGTGCAGAACACAAACAATTAAGGGGGAATAACAGTCCATCATAAATGAGAAAAAGCTGTAGTGACACTGAACCGCATAACATAAGCAATAAGCATGTGCAAATTTTCAAATCATAAGAAGCAGCCATTCTTTTCTTACAACATGATTTGAGTGTTTTGAAACACATGACTGTACACTAGTAAGGCTGCTCCTAGTATGTGCCATTATTTAAGGGAGGGAGCCTCAGATTTTCAAGCATGTGGAACAGTCCTACGATGTGCTGTAGGTGTCAAAGCACGATCACAGGTTTTTTTCATTTATTCACCATACAGGCAAGAGCAATACCATTTCCTTTAAAAGCAAGTCTCCACTATAACACCTTGATCTTCAACAAAGCAGGTGTGATTCAAAACCCAAGTCAAGTCAGCTTTCTAGGGATTCCTTCAACGAGAGGGGCAAGACGGTCTCTCATCTGTGGGCTGATCTGGGTTTGGATCAATCTAACCAAAAGAAAAAAAAAAACCAAAGAAACAAAAAAAAAAAACCCAAACAAAAACAACCCCCAAAAGCCACAACAACCCAGTGCATTTTAGAATTAACTGCTAGAAATAAACTTGTGAGTTTGGATTTTGAAGACAGTTACAACAATACATGGCATTCCCAGTCCAAAAGATATTGAAATAATTGCAACACTTCTAGTGAGACAATACTTTGGATAAAAATTAATAGAAATATTAATATTGAATACAGTAAAAGACTTTCAGCTACAGGTTGATAGCAATTTAAGGATAAGCATGAATAACTAATATAAAACTTTATAAATTTCTGCTTTACTAGCACAGAAGTCTTGAATTATGATATATACAAAAAAAGATGAATTAACACATATCACTAGAACTGTAATTTAAGAAATATTTAATTGATTTGAGAAAAGTACAGAAGTTTTGCTTGAAAAGGCAGAAAGTTATCAATAAAAAAAAGCATTCTACTTTTTAAATTAAAAGCAGTTAATCCTCAAATATCCTATTGGATGTTTCAAAAGTTCATGTGTTCTAAACCTTACCTCTTTTTCCTTTCTATAGGAAAAAGAAGGTGTACAGCCTAACTTAGGTCTCAAAAACTGGATGGTAAGAATAGTTTAAGTGTATAGTGCATTTTTTAGACAACATTACATCAATTAACTTCATATAGCTTTTTTTTTTAAAAAAAAAAAAAAAGAAGAATAAATGCTTCTTTCTAAATATTAAAGTACCTAAAAAGAAAAGGACTCGGGCATTGTACTCTGGAGGTAAGCTATAGCAGAGTTTTCAGGAAAGCGTCTAGCACAGAAAAAACACCCCTCTGCCTGGTCATTAGCATAGTAGTGTTTTAAGGCTGGGTTAAGGCTGGGGCAGGGAATCGTGCTACATAATGCTATTTTCCTGAAGTGGGTGAATTCAGGCAAAATTTGGACAGAGGACATGTTTTCTTTCTTTTGTCCTATATCATTGCTTTTTCTTGAAAAACATAAACATGAAAAGCTTTGAAATTTTCATCTCATTCATGGTTATTCATTTTTAGTTCTGTAAAGGCCAAAAATGTTGAAGAACTGTGTACTTCAGAAAACTTAAGTCAGCAATGAATACCAGTATGTCACTTTTCTACATGAAGCTTCTGAAAGCCCGACATCCACAGAACTTAAACACACAAGCAGGCAAAACAGTTTAGCGGGTGCTATAAAATGTTAGGAAACAGTAGAGATGAAGAGTTGAAACCTTATTTTTTTGTTTTTAATACAAATTTTTGTTGAAAAAACAAATGTTGTTAAAATGGTAAACAACACTTTGAAATTTTCCAGAAAGTATTAGACTAGGGAAGAGCGCTGTCGAGGAAAATTACCTTCCAGGTCTGCAGCTCCAGGAAATAGCATGATAGAGAAGCCAAGACACCCCACAGAGCACCTTTTAAATTTAAGGTTGCAGAGTTTATGTTAAAAATAAAGAATAATCCATTGTGTAAAACAGGCATGGAAAACGCTTGATGTAAGTCATCTGCATCTTACAAAAATCCTCCCCAACAACAACTTACTCCATTTTCATCATTTTAATGGTTTTCTCCTAATTTTAGCCAGTAGAAACAGCTTCCTAAACTTGTTCCACAAGACAAAACACACCCCCACAACAGACACAAAGAATACATGAATCATCATATTCTGACAAATATACCTACTTCTGAATATAGGGGTGGAGGCAGAAAACGGAACTCCTGGATGTATGCAAATAACGGTCCTTGAAATGCTCTCTCAAAATCATCAAAAGCAGCTGTAGATGCAAGGCTGGACTGTCTGTTTTCCTCTGTGACCACTTCTGCATAGCTAGGAGGTGCTGAAAGGAGAAGGTACATGCAGTTCAAACAAGTTCTTATGTATGTCAAAATATATAACACGATAAATATTAAACTTTAATCACCAGCAGGTAGGTAGCTTCTTAAAAATTGTTAAACAACAAAAAAAAAAGACTAAACTATTTCATTTTATTCTAATAATCTTATGTTCAAAACCAGGCTGATCACTGTTTACTGTGGCTTAATTATCCCCTTAAAATTTAAAGCATACCAAAGATAAAATATTTCTGCAATGATCTGTCATTCCTGCCTGTACAGTCCTCTGACCTCCAGAAGGCTCCAGGTTTAAGATTTGTATTTTAAAAAGCCCAGGATATTAGATACATGAAAACAGAAGGAAGGAAATACATAATTATTTCTTTAGCCAGAAGAGATCTCCCACAGAAAAGAATACTATCTTTTCATAAAGCCTTGGCTACTAAGGCTGATGAGAGACCTCAGAAATTGCTATTATGGGTTGCAATGCCTTATAACCAAGGATGCGAGAGATGGAAATAATGAAGTTGTGCACAGATACAATGGCAACCTGTGCTTTCATTTCTGCCACCCCCCAGGGCAGCTGCATTTCACTGCCTGTCCTCGAGAAAGAAAGGCAGGGAGGGAAGAAACTCTGTTCTTCTACATAAGACAAGAAGGAAGCAAGAAAACATCCACAACAGATTTCATATAGGCTTTATTATGAAAGGCTGTAATATGACTCTGTTTGCAAGACCATAATGAATAAAGCAGACAAAAATCAAAACAGACCAACAAAATGATTTGGATTTGTATTGTTGTCATGGTTTAGCCTTGCCCACCAAAGAACCACGTGGTCGCTCATTCACTTCACCCACCGCAGCAGAATGGAGAAAGAAGCAAAAGAAAAAGGCATAACTTGCAGGTCAAAAAAAGGCAGTTTTACAGAAAAGCAAAGGAAAGAGAAAAACAACAACAATAGCACTTATAAAGGATTATACAAAACACAGTTAATGTACAACCACTCACAGACTGGAATCCGTGAAGCCCAGCCCACTCCCCAGTGGCAGTTCGCGCCCACTCCCCACCAGCTCCCATAGCTATATACTGAGCATATCAAATATCCCTTTGGCTAGTTCAGGTCAGCTGTCCTGGCCGAGTCCTGTTCCAGCTTCTTGTGAAAATTAACCATATCCCAGCCAAAACCAGGACATTATTCACCCCTTATTCTAGACCATCTACATCATGCCCAGATCTTACACTTTCCAATTAATCACCACCACTTTTCCCTGTCTGTGATATCTATATGCATGTATAGATATATAAGCATCATTCCCTTAGTCAATGGGCCAACACTCTAAAAACGTTTGTTGAGTTTATTTAATCCATGACTTTGGGCTCCATCCATTCTCTCAGGGCAGGAAAGATGATGTACAGTGCTGGACTGTTGCATGCTGTACTCAGAGCTCACAGCTGGTCTATCTGGCATGGCCTATGTCCACAGTCTGTAGGTTGAAGATGTTGATCGAGAAAGTTGCTGTGCACCAGTTGCTGAAGCCAGTTCTGGTCCCATCACTGCTGCACTTCACTCAGTTTCAAAGTCAATCAGTGATCAGTTTGGGTGATTCTTACTGTAGCACCATTGATAGGGCATATGACAATTGCATGACAGAGTGGCAGGGTTACTTCACAGTTAACGTAACAAAATTTGATTTCTTGACTATTCTCACCCAAAATCAAATCCCCATGAGGTACACATCTGAGCGATGAGTTTGCCTTTGCCTGAGGCAGGACTAACCAAGACTGTCTCGCCTAACATATTCTTTGTGTATACTACAAGGACTTTATCACCTTCCACAGTACATGAAAGTTTTGACTGGGCAGGGCCAGCTTGATTGGTAGATCCCCTGCTGCTAACTAACCAGGTTGCTTTTCCTAAATGCATATCCTAGTCTTTGAAGGTTCCACCACCTATCGCTCTCAGCATAAGTTTCAGCAGTCCACTGTATTGTTCAATTTTTTGCAGAAGCTGGTACATGATATGGGACTTGATATACTCACTCAATGCCATGCTCTTTAACCTAGGTGTCTATGCGGCTGTTTCAGAAATGAGTCCCGTTCTCTGACTCAATTCTCTCCAGGGTGCCATGTCACCATAAGACTTGCTTTTCAAGGCCCAAGACAGCGTTCCAGGCAGTGGCATGGGGCACAGGATGTTTCTAGAGCGCTAGCAATTGCTTTGGCAGGTTTGGGGGAGTGTAATATAAATATGGAGAGGCGTGTGTCGTGGTTTGGGCCAGGAAGAAAGACCCACGCAGCCGCTCGCACAACTCCCACAGTCGTGGAAAAAAAGAAATATGACAGGGCCAAACTCGTGAGTTAAAAGAGTGCAATTTAACAGAACAGCAAAAGGAAAAGACAAAAACGCGATTACAGTACCGCTGCGAAGCGCACCGACCGGACCCACACCGCCGCAGCCCACCCCTGAGTGGCGACTCCTCTCCTCGCCCCAGTTAGCTCTTCTTATAGCTCGGGCATGGGTCACATGGGATGGAATACCTGCCCCCTGCCGGCTCCTGGGGAGATTAACCCCATCCCTGCCGGAACCAGGACA